AAATATTTTATTTGAAGAAAGTTACAAAACGCTTAATAATGATCAAATATCAAGGTAGTCTTTCTACCTTGGTATGAAGTACTATTGATGATTGAGAGGACCTATTAAACTCTTTCAAAAACAAAAAAAAAATAGAATATATAGAAAATATAATTTATTGTATCTTAGACTTCTTCAACATATAAATATTGCTTCTTATAGAACTTGTCCTTTGAAGAGGGAATAATGTCAAAAACATGCATATTTATCTAAATAAGAAGTGATAAGTAGAAAATAAATGTAGATATATTTAATAATATCTTATGGCAAAGCTTCTTAAAACCTTCATAGATGCAAATTTGACTTTAGATGTGTTTGTAGTTGATTGATAGATTTAAAACTTACCCAACAAATTAGCCACCTGTCATACATGTTGGTAGCTTGTAATAAAAGCTAATCTTGTGGCATATATATAAAAAAAACTTATCTTATAAGTTCTACATGTATTTGAGGTTTTATAAAATATCACTTCATATTTTTTAATTAATTAGTATATATAGAGGCAAAAGTGAAGTCTTCTTCACTCTTATCAACATCTTTCTAGTTCTTAGTCTTATTTCAAGAGTCTCTAATCTTCTTGTCTTTAATTATAGCCATTCTAGTTTCAATGTTACATTAATTTTTGAGTGAATATCCATTCTTTTTGAATGATACTAGAAAATATTGACATTTTATTTTTTATGATTCATGTCCTTGATATTGCTTTATTTGACTTTTATTTTATTTTCTCATTCATACTTGTAAAACATTCTAACATTTCTTCAACACATATATAGAATTATATATGAACATCAAGTGTTTTATATTAAAGCCCATGTATCATAATTCTTCTCATCCAATTGATTAATACCATAGTCAGTTGAGGATAATGCTATTGCCAAGACAATTAATGTTATAGCAACAATCAACAAAATTGTTCAAAAACAATAAACCTTGTAGTAGTTATAGAAGTATAATTAACAAATATTATATAAAATAAAATAATAGAAAGTGGTGTCAGCAAGCTATGGTGAAACAAAACAATACTTTTTCAATACCAATAACAACAAAGAATCAACTCTAGTAGAAATTAAAATTGACAATAGTGGTGTAGTTTTGTAATAAGGCAAGACTCTAATACTGATGCAATTACAAAGATTTGGTAGCAATATGATAGGACAAATTCATCTACAAAACAAAATTGTCCAAAACATTTCATCTATAAAAAATCTTCCAAAAAATCATCCAAAAAATTCTATCTATGGTACTTATTTATCCAAAATTTCTATAGGATATTACAAGATAAACATTTATTTATGTATTAAATACAAATG